TAACTGTCTTTTGTTCACCAACCTGGCTCAGTGCACTGCTGACCTCTTTTCAATAGGGGCTAGATTAGCATGCAGCAGTGCTCTGTGGCTCATCCTGCGGTGGTGGAGTGCTTTTGTCCCCTGTGGTAATCCGCTGGCTCTCAATGCCCCAACCCTGGTATACGGTTTCAAAACAAGGCTGGATAATCACAACTTTTGAAAGTGAAAAATGTCGGGAATGCCCAGCAGCCTGGTCTTTTGTTCGGAGTACGGTCTTTGGTTACAGGGCCCTGTTTCCTTTGTCCGATTTCGGAGACCCCGGCCACGCGTATAAACCATATGTCTCCGATTCCGGAGTCCCCGGCAGGTAGTGGTTAAACAAAGAGTTATTGCATTACTCCGTGATAAGGCATCCTCCAAGTTACAACACACAACACCCCTGCATTTTACCCATTATTCAATATTTCTAAGTGGTTAAGGTATGGTGGAATGGCTGATCATTCCTGTTGTTTGCTGCACTGAAAAGAATCTCAGAATTTATTTCCTAAAATAATGACATAATACTATATCTGTGTATCAAATTCCACTATGTATTTTTGTTATGCTGGCTGTCTGTTTGTTTTGGTTTATTTCCTAATTTGCCCCTTGCCCTTAAAAACCCAAACTTCATCTCCTGAGCTTCCCTCAACCCCCCCCCAAAAAAACCCAGCTTAGGCTGCATCTAAATCTGTTGTCCAGAGCTAGGTCTAGGTCTTCACTCCATTGGAAATATGCAAAGATGCTCAGATAGTAGACGTCCCCGTATAGCTCTGGAAGCCCATTTCGGACAGGGCCTTATGCATTGCAGTTATGGTACATTTTATAATGAAGAGACAAATTAATTCCCCTGTTAACATTTCTTTATTTTGACAGGTATAATGATTAATTTATTTCTTTGTGTTATTTTGTCAGTGAACAACTTCCGCATTGGTGACAGCTTGGATATCCAGCTGACCATACGCACAGTCATGCAGAATGCACTATTATTGGCCATCTCTGGAGATGCCCAGAACTTCATTGCAATGGACATTTACAATGGATTGGTAAGTCAAAGAACAGTTCGCTAAACAAATTCGTGCCCCAATTACTGACTTAAGCAGGTATTGCCTCCCCCCACTCATTTGTAGACTTTGAGAACTCCACTTGAAGAATTTCCATTACCTGTCAAATTTGTTTCCCATTCATCAGAAGTATGAACCAGCCTTCGGATTTCAAAGCAAAGGAAAATACTGGCAAAGTGCATGTACTAACTTCTGAATGCATATGCCAGGACTACATGTGTATGTTAAATACTTTGTACATGTAAACGTATGCAGGGCAGTGGCCTAACTACAAGGGCACACATGCCCTCAGCGGATGCCTGTCCCCCCCCCGTGCCATTTTTTATGAAATCTCTGTTGAGTTATATTTCTATGCAGTTGCAGCTTTTTTTCTATGGTGCCCACTTGAAGAAAGTGTGTGCACCCTCGAATCCCCCTCCCCTGCATTTAAATTGCACCATTGAACGGGTCACCGCATTTCATGGACTCTGTCTGTCCTGTTTTTACCAGGTGAGGGTGATAGTCAGCCACGGGTTCATGTCATCCTACATCGTCCGCTCCACCACGCTGTCCAGTGAGTTTGCCGTCTGCAACAACCAGCCCCACCTCCTCCGCTTCTCCTTCACCACAGCTGCTCTTGCGCTGACCGTGGATGATAATCTCAGAGACGTGGTGTCCTTTGACGCAGGCACGCCCACCGTGGCTGCCACCAATGGGTTGGCTGTGTATATTGGTGGGATACCTGGTATGTTGAGAGCTAAATGATTATTTAGAACCTTAGACCCTCTGGCAAACAATAAATCCAGTTGTTCATTGTACATTAGTTTTTTAATCATTTATTTCAAGCGCGAGCAAAGGTAGTCTGTAAACAATAATTGGCCACCTTCACAAAGAAGTCATGGATCTCTTTTTAATTGGCAAATTAATACACATTTAAAAAAGCTGTAACTGTTACCATGATCACTATATATCTATTGTGTAATTGTGGAGTGCATTACAGAGGAAGCATCTGTGAGCATTGTGAAATCACGTTCAGTGTATGAACTCAGATTTCAAGGGAGTAACGTATCTGATTCTCAGTGAAGAAAGTTTAGAAAGCAATCAAGGTTTAGGTACCGTTTGAGATAAAGTACAGGGACCTTTATTTTACAGGGATTCCCAATTTAGGATGAATTGAAACCTAATGATGGAAACTATATATGTGTGCTCCTAAGACTTGAACATCCATTACAATTTTTCAGTGATATTTGGCCAAAACTGTATTCAAAATAAAAAAATTATATTCAAAATTTGCCCGCATGTGATGTGAAATTCGGAGAGACTGGTCAATATAGTTCCTGCAGAATCCTAACCATACAACCAGGAGCAGTGCACTTTGATTTCAACATGAAATCTTTGAAATTAGAGAGTTTTCTGATTTTGACATTGCAAATTTCTCCCTTCACTGACCTCTGTTTTGTTGTGTTTGCATTTGCAAGAAGGTGAGCTTTATCTGATAGGCACTTTTCATTCCATCAGATATCACCACCGTACCCCTGATCAGCGGAATCGCCACCAATTCCTTCCAGGGTTGTATGCAGGACCTGCTCATCAATAATGCCACTGTGCCGTTCAGGGACAACCTGGGCAAAGTGGGCTTCACCACAGGCTGCCCACGCCCGGTCTAAGAAAGGTTGGCTCTATTAAAGGTTAGGTCCAAGACAGGTGCTTGACCCTTCAAGGAAACTAGGGTCATTCATATCAAATATTCTGAATTCCATTACTTTGTCCTCCACAGAAAAAGTGGATACTTAGTAAATTTGTGTTGAAGGTTTTAAATCATTGCGTTCCTTATTTCTCTGTTCCTCAATCAGGAGGCCAGGCACAATAACTTTAATGTATTTTGCGCCAGAACTCATGTTCTGTCATAGCTTTGCACCAAGAATGCTGTTTTTACAAAAACAATTCTGTCAGTTTTTGGATTACTGCAAATGTTAGGTACTTTTTGAGGGTTGTGGAGCATCCAATTAATCGTTACCATCTTAAAAATCTGCCCACAATGTGATGGTAACTCTTAATATTTTTTAATTGATTTTCTCTCCATATATTTTACTAATGTCAAGATCATGTTCTTCAGTAACGTTAGGATTTTCCCATCATGTTTTAGTGCTGGTTTGTTGTGATGTTTTTGCTTTGTTTAGTTTGATTTCTTTAATGGTTTGTTTGTCTGTTTAGTTTTGCATCTGTACATTTGAGGTGTTTTTCACCACGTGTGTTCAGACAGCTCAAATTGCATGAAACTATACCACCACTTTTCATTCACGGTGCTTTATCCCACTGAAAATTCAAAGTGCTTCATTATTTTGCTGTAGCAATTAGCAGTCAATTTTGCTTTATGTGATGGATTTTTAAGTTGCAAACCTGAAGATAGCGCACTGTATGTATTCAGAACTTCCCACAATGTCCTATATTGAGTACATTGTCAAAGCACAGAGTTCCCATTTTACTTTTGTGATCCGCCACAACGGTTTCGACCTGTAAACACTCACACAAAACATTCCAAACTGTTAAGAATAAGCTCAGTAAATGACAAATGGGAACTATCACTTAGTAGAAATCTGTTACAAATCAGCTAATGAATGCACAAGTTGTGTAATGCCGATAACACGTATTCTGAAATGGAAGAGCTGCATTCCTTTGAATTAAATTTTTTTCCGAAGTACGTTCAAAAGGCCTGTCTCACTTTACATGTAATAAATATGTGAAGTACACAATCGCAGGTGCATTTTGCCTGTGGTGATAGATGTCATGTGAAAATACTGTCGTATTACCAAAAGAAAAAAATTCGTATTTCCCACCACGATATTGGCTCTTCATGAAAACAGTGGCAACATCTTATGCTTTGCAGTTGGTTTGAACAAATTTTCTGAGCACGGGCAACCCAGGATAATCCATCTTTTACAAAACATTGTACAGTGTTTTTCAATTTTCAATGGCGTAAGTGTGAAGTGAAAATGAGGAAATCAGCGTATCGGAAGAAAAGTTGCATGCCCGAATCATCAGAATACTAAGTTCATTAATTTGGCACTGCACGTGATTGGTCATTAATTAAGGCATTGCACTTGTTGACTTTTTGGCACTTATCCCCACTTTCTGCAATGGCATTAACAGCAGCGGAACAATTTTCAAAGGGGGAAGGGCAGTTGTGAGACCATCAGGCATCAGTCAATTATAGGCCATCCATTCAGGCCCATCCTATGCGTTACAGAACCTCCAAAAAGTGGGGGGGGGCCACACACTTCCACTGCACATGGTTTGAACAGGTCGACGTCCAATAGACCATTGGTCTTTAAAAATATGCTATAAATATTTATTTTCAGTGGATGAATATGAATATTATTACAGCATTAAAGATTTGAACTGTCACAACAAATTAAAACTGGTGCGGCAACAAGGGACAAGAAATATACATTTACAATTCATCTGCGGACAGTAATTATCACATGTATAAAAATAGCCAACCCATATTATACTTCATGTATACATGGGTCACATATACTTCAAGGAATAAACATAGCAACCACTTCTTCTGGGGGAATCATGTCAAGCCAATTATAAAAATACCACTTCATTTAGGAGAAAGCTGTCACATTGCTCAACAGTCAACAAAATCATCTGTTCTTTTGTTAGACTTGCTCAAAAGACATGATTAATATTGTCATCAAGTAATACAATACATGTATGTACAAGTTTAATATGCAGAAACGCGAGTAAAGCATAATATTGTGTGGACTCTTCCTGTCAAATAAATAGGCTTTTTTTCATTGCTTGTAGTAGTCCAGTAGTTTCAAAACTGTAATTACTTTTCATGATTTATGCATTTTTTGTTAGTAAATTAAATGTGGTTTCTCATGACTCCAGTGTTTTTTAATGAGAGGTGTACTAAGGTCATTCTTTCAGCAGTGCTGCCAGAGTTGCACCAGCATCAACTTTTTTTTCCACCTTATAAAATATACCAGATATCGAAACACATTCCTCCTTAAAGGCGTAACAGATGTTGTTGTATACATTTATTATTTGTGATTTCTGTTGAGGCAATGTTGCTGTTGGTGCAACTGTCACTGTCTGAGGTCCTCACAAAAAAAACCATTTCAGATACTGTACTAGAAATATATATTCCCACTATGGTAAGTTGTTAGCAAACATTAACATACAAAGCAAGCACGTCACTGTCAATAAATAGCTACATATCTTGTCTGACAGTCTTAACCTTTGCCCTTCCTGTTGTGCCTCTGTCTACCAATGAACCACCTTCCATCAAAATAAACTCAAATGACCTACATAACCTATTCAATGACAGTTGTCGCTTCTTCACTGACAAGCAACTTGCTCTGTTTCGGTAAAAAACATGCAACATACCCCATTTCGATCTCTAAGTATCTGCGCAGGCTTCCTAAACTCTATAGTTGCCCTGGTGGTGCAAAACTCATGCAGATTACGCATTCAAATATCACTAGTTTTCTTCTTTTGTTTTTCAGCAGCTTATTCTCTATTGTCTCTATACTGCCCAACACCACCCAGTATACTACTGAATGCTCCATCCAAGAATCTCTGGTGATTTCTGGAGGCCCTGCAAACAATAGGTCAGACAGTTTGAGGCAGTATAGTATATTAAGCGTCCACAGTTTAAATGGCTTTCAACACCACTCTAAAGGGCAATTTCTTTACAGCTAAACTATTGAAACGTACAATCAAGAATACATTTAATTTGTAAACAGCATGATGAGCGCTGTTAATATATGCACGGAGGTAACTGACCAAAAAGTAAGGGGAAATAATGGTTTAGTACAAGAGTATATTAAAGTGTTTGATTTCTTGTCAATTTTCTGCATAAATCACTGCATGAAGTAGCTTACAAAATGCATGCTAATATTTCTAAAACTCTGGAAGCAGACATTCAACTTGTGCCGTCTTTCTCCATTAACCTGTATTATGGAGGCACGTTGGATTAACGTTCCCTGAAAAAAAAATCACCTGCATCCAGATGGAAAAATGAATTATTTTAAGGCTGTAAAAATCTTGGTACTGACGGTTGTTATCATCTCTGATGATTGAAACAGGAGAAACAGCAGTTGTTTCTGTAGTACATGTAGGTGCAGAGTCGGGCCTTGGCAACCTTTTCACAGTACTGAAACCTGTCCTGGCAGTCGATCGCTGAGAAGCAAAGGAGAATGAAAATCCGAGGTGTTGGTGAATACAGTGACTGTGAAAAAGTGCCACCTAGTGTCAGGTGGTGACCAGTGCTACCCTGCTCCTTCCCCAAGATTTAATGGAGTTGATCACAAGTCAATTAAGAGTCAAGTTGCAAGTTTCTAAATGGAGCTGATATTACGAACCTGACATAACCCTCACCATGGGTAATCTTTGCACAGAAAATTAACAATAGGTGGCATAAATGCCCAATTTACTCATTACTGATTCCATAAGAGGATTTACGGCTGCACAATGTTTAAGGTAGATCAGATCTCTTGGGTGAAGACTGAAGACTATCGGAGTAATACCATGGCTGTACCTTTTCAATTTTACACAAGTCCTAAAACAGCTTTAAATAACTAAGCCCTTAATTTTGAAAAAAAAATTCTTTTCTTCATCAGAACTGGTCAGCAAATTCTGAAGTTCCTTCACAACCAAACAACTATTTCAACACACCCTAATGCAAGCCTCTTCATTTTTAATATGAACTTCGATTAGTCAAGCAATGCTAAGCATTACAATGAACATTAGTAAGAAAAATCATCCATTCAAATTTGTTCAGCCTCGTCAGATTACCTAAGGTATGCCATAATTTGTTGTCCAAATCATAGACTGGCATAACTTTCTACAGTGTGTCAGAATTTGTTATGCAATATGCGCAATAAAGTTTGCCATGAGAGAGAATTTATGAATGCAACTACTTTTGACATCAGATTTTTGCCCAACTTGCAAAGAAATCTACACAGGGAGAAGCTAGACCAACTCTGGCATAATTTGTGGTGCTGGCAATGTAAAGGCCTTTCCACATGAATGATGGAATCACAAATCCACAATGTTTGGCACTGAGTGTCTGTTGCAAGGGTCGCTTGCGATTTCATCGCAAGCTTTCACATGGTACAACAAGGCACATAAGCAACATTCCTCATTTTGCAGCATTTACATTTATATTGCTCGTACTGCGATATTCTCTGGAATTATAGGGCTCCAGCAATTTCCTGCCATGTACGAGAATATGCAAGTTTTCACGAGCATTTATGTACGAATTCAGCAATGAACACTATTGTCTTTGCCTGTTAGTTATGCATCTGTCTGTGTTAGATTTTTTAAGTCAGTTTTGTGTCCATCTTGGGCATTTTACTTTCATCAGACCCAGGAATAGACATATCAGCAGCATAATTTTCACTGCCAGTTAGTAGTGGCCTTTTTGCCAGTGCCCGGTGTGGCGCTTTGTAATATTAGGCATCCAATTTATTAACACAAGATATCAAACTGGATCACTGGAAATGCTGTGAAAACCTTTTCTTTTTCCTATTTTATTCAAGATGTTTTAATTGGAAAGTAAAGTCCAATTTGTTTTTGGCATAAGTGACTCTGGAAGATATGGCCCTAATTCCATTGATCCTGTCAAAAAAGAAATGTACTAATGCATGCAGAGTACCAGATAGCAGCAAGACTATCCCCACGATGAACAGTGTATTTATGTGGACCGCCATTTTGAATGACAGCAACAGCCAAGCCACAGGTGTGCATGAGTAATGGACTTCAACGAACACTACCCTTGCAAAAATTGCACACTTTGCATTCACATGACCAATGACAAGACCAAGGGTATAGATCCCTGCAAGGATCACACAGGGACCATAATGATTAAGTGACTGAGACACACTTTCACACAACACTAGAACACTGATGTAATTTTATCACAAGTGACTCCTGTTCAAAGATTGCATAGTGCTGCCAAGCGGCGTAAGATGGCAAACTTCACCGTGAATACACGCAGAACGTTGTAATCACACAGGCGCCATTTGAGCAAGCGATACGCCTGCGCAATGCACATTAATACACTGGTGCAGGCGTCGCGGCAGGCACGTGCACCTGGTGAGCCTGCACCCAAGCATTATCGTAAACTGCGCAGGCATATCGCTTGCTCAAATGGCACCCATGGTAATTACATCTCTTGGGCAGAGTTATCCATTTTGCGCCTTCGGCGCTATATAATCTTTGCTCCTGTTTTCCACACTCATGTGAAAGGGCTTTAAGACTAAAAAGAAGTCCCAAACCACTGGTAAAACCTGCAAGGCAGACAATATTGCAGGAACAAATATCTGTCCTCCTAAATCAGTCCAGACTTCACTAACAAAAGACATTGGCCCTTCCAACACTGTGAAGGTCTGCCCAAAACGTCTGATATGTACATGTATCTCTGGAATTTGGTAATTGTGGTGGCACACCCAGTGACTTTGACAAAACGAATTTATGGGGTAGAAAGGGGAAAAACATGACTCATTTATGATTTCAACTGAACTCTGTTCATGATACCTACATGGTGTGGCAGTGGTGCACTGCTGGATGTTGCAGGACTGCGTTGAAGACGGTCTGTTCTCCTCGCTGCATTGTGTGCTAGACCTCATGATGGAATCCAGACACTTGACGTCTCGTTTTCTGTGGCCACCACCACATGTTCGAGAGCACTACACAGGTTCACAGAAATAATCAAAACTGAAACAAGTGCACGTGGTAAGAGTGACATAACAGGAGAAATTCAAGTGCTGCTGTGGCACTGCATAAAAACAAACCTATAAGATCCTGATACAAGTAGTTTTTGTCCATTTGCAAATCATCAAAAGGAGGCCTGCTATCTCCAGTAAAAAGTAACAGCATTCTGCCATTTACTACCCTGTTCTGTTTTGGTGATCTCCCAGCCAATCACATTGTTGATGTTCTTGGGTACTAGACATACACAGTGCAATTTAAGCATGTCGTGTTACTTGGCATTACGTACATCCAGCACTGTACCAGAAATCTCTTTGGAGGGAAAACCATTTGTAAGAAATCTTCAAATAGGCCTAAGCCAAACTTCAGATCAAATGTTGTAACCCTTGGTCATCTTAGAAATGACCGTAGCCTCCAATCCACACCGCCAGTTTTGGGGTAAAGAACAAGTGTCAGATCTAGAAGGAATTCAATTAAGTCTTGAAATCCTTTATTTTTCTTTTTCCTATACAGGTGAACATTTAGAGAAAATTAAAACTTTCTGCACACACCCAGTGGCCGTTACAGCACATTTCACATTCGTAATATCAAGGCATCCTTATTTTAGAATCCTTAAATCTAGTTTACTCAATCCATTCAGTGTTGAAGTAAGGCCCCTCATTCAAGCCAAGAAAAAACATGCTGGTAAAGAGTGTTTCATCTGGGCACCCATAACACGTGAAAATTTTACATTCCAACAGAAGCAGATTGTGCATACTCCAGTATAGCACGTGCATGCCCAGTGGACACTAGTGTGTGCGTACATAGGCTGCGTATCTCTACCAAATTTGAAGGGATGTTTATGCTTTGTAAAAATACACCATTTTTGGCTCCTGTATATATGGAATGCACCGGCATTGAAGGGATCAGACATCGACCCTCCCTTTCCAAATATAATGGATCTGTATCAATAGGTCGACACAAACAAAAAATGGCAGCCATTAAGTACTTCTGCTCCAGACATTTGACAATCTGTCGCTACTGACAGCTGCCCATCTGTGTCTCCATCCATCAACTCCCATCCCATCCCCCCTTACCTGAGTCCAGTCGGAGTTGAACCACATGGCCGTGCAATCCTTGAGGTAGCAGCTCTGTCTGTTAGTGGGTTTGGGCTTCATGGCACACTGCTCCTCATTGATGATGATGTGAGGCTCATCAGCCCCAGCACACAGCACCACGCGTTCCTGAATACCCTCGCCACATTCCCTAGAACACTGGTGAAACCAAAACGGGTGATGAAAGATGGTATGGGAACTACAGTCAGGTAAACGGGATTACACCTTCACACACTCTTGATTTTATTGTAGTTTTAAATGCAAAATTCAGTAGGGTGATTTTTTTTTCTTGTAATGACATCCAACAAAAACTGTTTTAAGTTTTAAATGTTGTATAAGCATTCTCGTTCTTGGATTTGCAATGAAACAAGTTTTATCTTACCACCCCAGTATGCTATCTTAATGTGGACATTTTCTTTTCCATGAGTGTTGGATTTTACTTTGTTATAACATAACCACGTCCTTTGGTTTATGCTTTATTTATCCAAAATACAAACTTCATATTTCAGTTTATTGAAAACTACTGAAGTATGGTTACAAGAGTGTCTTCCCTAAAAACTTTCAAAGAAAATCACACAAACCATCTTGGCATCCTAGAAGTACATGTAATTACAAGAAGAATCCCTACGGCACCCGTGTCAATGCAAACAAGGCACTTCGACACAAAACAGGCCAAACTAATTGCGGCTAATCTTGAAACGGAATGAATAACTTTATGGAAACTTGGCTCATCAGGGCTAAATTTCCCGATATGCTGAAATTGCCATAGTTTGGAAGGCTTTCATGGAATCTGGAAGAGGTCAGAGCATCAAAGACCTGGCAATACTTGACAGGCAAAATTGGCTCAAAACAATGAACGGGTGTTGGAACACCCTATGCATGCCCTCTTAATTTTGCAATCAACCTTGCAAATTTTTACAAGTTTTTTCTGTACAGCTTGACCATTTGAAAAAAGTTCCACTTTAAGCAAATGATGGCCAGCGGCCGTATAGGAGTTTCTTGTTGGATGTGTACAGAAAGGTCAGGGGAGACAGCCATCTTCTTTAATCCTTACCTGAGACCACTCTGAGGTCAACCAGACAGCACCGCAGGGCATGCTATTGCATGTCCTGGTTGTCCTAGGCTTGGTGATGGTATTGCAAGCTTCATCTGACAGCACCTGGCTGTTTCCCTCAGTGGTACAGACAACATAGCGACTCTTGTGCCCTCCCCCACATTCAGCAGAACACTACAAATGAAAGCAACCACAGAAACATTTTTTTCACATTCAGGTTTTGTTACTGCCAACTGGCACACAACTCATGACTACAGTAATACATGACAGATGTGTCAGTTGATCGAATGAGTTTGAGCATCATAGTGTGAGCATACAATTGAATTAACAAATTTGAACAATAAGCTAATTCCAAAAAGGTTTGCTAAAATTGTGAAATGTGGTACCTCATCACAGGACAAGGCTGTTTCTGACACCAAAAAACCAAAAAGCTCAAAGAACTCAGTCTAGGGGTGAGAGTGGCCACTTAAAATTAAAGCTGGAAACAGCTAGCAAAAAGCTGAAATGTAAAAGGTTCCCATACTTTATTTGTTCAGACCTGCGACACAAAAAAGCTGAACTTCAGGGTCAACATCTAAACAAAAAAGGTGAATTCTCACACCCCTGTCAGTCACCATGTGTCTATTTGCTTAAAATGTTCCTTAAACTTAATCATATTATTTTTCGGGAAAAAAAGATGGAACAGAAAAATTTTCTTTAGCCAGGAGAAGTGCCAATCTGTTTTTGGCATGAGGCATCACTTCATTCAAGAGGCATCTGACATTTTTAGTGTGCTCAAGGCATTTGAACTTCAGTTTATCTGCAAGGGTGACTCGCCACCGAGAGACATCCGAAACCTTATCAGTTGCCCCTTCCCTCTCTTGGGGAGCATTTACAAGCACTATCTGGACAGGATGCAGTACAGATAACTCAAACAAGGATACCCGGGTACTGGTACAAAAACTGAACCCTACAGTTCAAAGAACTTGTGTAAAACAGCTTACGTGAAAAATGTCCTTAAAGTTTTAGTTCTGTTTCACAAAAGACACACATCAACAACCTTTGCATATGCACTTGAAAGGTTACAGTATTACATGTAAGTGTAGTCTGGTTTTAGTTTGGGGATTTTTCCAGAAATATTTTCTTTCCCTGAAATTTGTGATGTTAGTCATATGTATTCCTGTCTCATTTTATGGAACTGGTGTCAGACATCAATGGAAGGGTACTGATATACCCAATTTCCATACACAGCACTAGCCCCCCTCAAGCATGCACCACACTTCACCAATCACCAAGGTCAACCACACCAACCTAAACCATCAATCCGGACTATCCCCACATGATCCCCCCATGAACCAAAGCCCCTAATCCTTACCAGGTCATTCCACTCCGACACGAACCAATTACTGACGCAGGGCCCCCTGTCACAGGTCTCCTCTGTCCGGGGCTTGCTCAGCTGCTTATCCGTACAGGCAGACTCATCCAGCTCCTCCCTGGCCTCGTCCACGCAGCGCACCTCTCTCTGCCGTCTGCCCTCCCCGCAGGGCACATTGCACTGGGGGGGAGGAATCAAAGAAAGTACACAGGAAGCGTTAATGAAATGGCCAAGGATAATGTTGATCCTGCAACTTCCCTAGGAGAACTGACGAAGTATTTTGAAGTCTTCCTCCATGACAGCTTAATGCTTAATGTACACCTGTCACATTGCGTAGGTGAACTCATTGAGGGATTTCCAAAATTTCAGGTTTAGTTATTTTCAGTTTTGCAGAATTTCGCTGCTCTCTTACTATAATTACCCGGGCATTTCCATTGATGAAACACAGAATTCCCCCAAATAAAAAACTTTGTACTTGGCATCATAGTTTACCCGGCTATAGTCTTTACAAGTTGTCCAGTCTTAACCTAAGTCACAAGCTACTGCAGCAAAATGAACTGAGACAAAAGCATTCCTTCGTCACTGTTCACCTTTTTACTTGTCTTGTGAAAGGTAATGTGACAGACTTGACTACAATTTCTGGAATCCTCCGAGAAGACAGTGAAGCAGTGTTCACCAGCAGCTCCTCAGATAACTAGTATTTTAAAGAAATCATACACTCGGCCAGTTCATGACTGAGAAACCCACATGACTGAATTGTGAAGTGGCATCTGAATCTTAGTCACTATAGTTAGAAGACAACCAAATAAACCCTGGGTAAACACAACTCTTGCAGATAACTCAAGTTGATCGAAAACAGGGTTCTTAGAGAAAGGGGGAGAAGTGTACAATCAATTAACAAACAGACTGTGAGGTTGCTTATTTGAAAAAAATCAAAAGTGTCCCCAAGGCCAAAATCAATTACAATGTTTGTCATGGTAAATCTACTTTGTATCCTACATATCCTCCATTAAATAAGTATGCTTTCCTGCTTTTAGCAAAGCAGGATTGTGCGTGTAAGAAACTAATTTCTTTGTTCCTGTAACAATCTTGTACATGTATACAATTACATTCAAAAGAAATGACAACAGCTTATATGCATGTATGCACTTGAAGTGCAATTGACTATATAGTCATGACCACACCAAACAAAATGAGCTGTACATGTAAGTCAGATGAGCCACTTTTGAGTCAGATGTTTTAAAAGAATCCTGAATAGGGTAAATCAGCAAGAACTTTCAGCATGTTCCATGGGCAACTAATGTCCATTTGCATCAGGATGCCAAACTGAATGATGCATCAAGAGGAAGAGCTCATGGCTTGAAATGACAAATGAAACCTGAAACAAGATTGCCGAAAGAATGGCCTTATAAGATTCATTTTGAATTGTTTTTTCAGGCAATGATTATTTCCAGCAGGGTCGAGTAATATGATCCCCATTTTGCATTTTACCCATTTTTTTTTTTTTACATTAATTTTTGAGGGAAAAACAAGATTTTCAGAGTTTCAGCTGTGCCTGCCTGATGGTTAGAACAAACAGACTGAAGCATTGAGTCACTGGTCATACCACAGATGTTTGCGACTGCAGAGCCCAATGATGGACAGAAAAAAGCTTGAAAGACTTTACCCACAGGTGTTGCATCATCTCAACATGTATGTTCCCATTTGTGCATCCTCTTAACAATCCACCTTCACCTTGAAAAACTTCAAATCTCATCGTTCACGTTCGAGTATATAGGCCTAGTAACCAAATCTTGCCAAATCCCAAACATATTTATTGTGTGAACAACTTTAAGGATAATAACACAAGGTCTACTGGTATAAGGGTAATTCCAGAAATTAGGAGTCCAAAAGTGTGACCTTTTTCGTGTCCCTGTTACATCTGACCTTGTTATTTGACATGGAAATATCACTAGAATTGATTTCAAACTGTTACTATTTGTTTGGCAGATAATTGGTATTAATTTATCCCTCTTAGAAATTAGAAAATGTGTTCTGATCTTAAAAAATCATATATCAGATGTGACAGGGACACAAACAAAAAGTGGACCCCTGATTTCTGGAATTACCGATAACCGAAATGTACAACTGAAATAATTTCAGTAAATATGTTCGTATTTTCATTCATATTTCATCAATTTTTTTCAATTAAACAGGAACAAAAAATGCTGGATGCTTGAGGAACTAGAGTGAATCATAAAGAATGGTGTTAGTTACGTTACATGCGTAAGACAGTCCATTCAAACTAAAAAAAAAACAATAGGTTAGGGACACCGGCAGAGTGACTGCATCCAATTAACTGAGGAAGACATCAATTGTCAACGAGGGACTGCTGGTTTAGTGTCTCTGCTACATATCATGAAGTTCAGATGAAGGGGATTCAGAAGTGCCACCTAAACAGCCTCACAGGTAAATGTAGGGTCACAGAACCTACAGAAAAACACCTCCTGGGAGAAAGGAAGGCGATAATGATTCCTACAAAAATAACCTGAAATCGGAGTCACACAACATCTGGTGTTGAAGATAAAGAAGGACAGATTTTCAAAACAACCCCTTCCCCGTTTCCGTTGGCCATACCCCCTTCCCGTCTCCATAAGAAGAGTAGAAAAGTACACTAAAAAGCAACAAGTACATGTAACTCTTCAAGAATGCCATTAGCTATTCAGAGTAGTGATGGGGTGCAATCCTCAGCAACCCCAGAATCTCTGAATGCTTGTCCACAAAGTGCTTTGTGCTTAAGTAAGAAAATTAAAGAACTACCTCCGTCCAATTTTTGGCTGCATTTTCAGCATTTGAAATTTTCCTTACACAGTCATTATTTCCAGAGAGATATTTGTAAACCATTTATCAAGTGACTCTTGTGATTGTAGGCTGCGCATGTGCTGTACCTCTACAGCCAAACCAATCCAGCATTGCACTCTCAGAAGCTGCTAAAATTGGCACCAAAATTGCACAGTTCTACGAGACATGCCTTAAAACATAAATCTTCACATTCAAAAACTGCAAAGACATCAAACCCAAGTGCATCATTACACTTTTTAGCACATTCTCACTCAATATGAAAATTCTTCTCCACAATGAAACTTCATGAAACATTTTTGATGATATAAGTGCCCCACTTCAAATTGGCTGCGAAAAAAGTTGACAAGACTTCATTGTCACAGCAATGATAACCAGGCTATTGTCAAATTAGAAGCATCTGAGGAAATTACTAACAGCCCCAAAACTGTCTTCCTGGCTGCCTGCCTAGAAAACTGCAAATTCAATGGCTGTTTTGGGGAAGAACAGGTACTGACCATAGCAAATATGTGTATGTGTTGGTAGAATCTTCAGGGTCGTCCAACCCACTGGGAGAGTGCAAGAAAACATGAACAAAGGTTTTCCTTGAAGATGGGATGCATGTCCTGCAACAACTGTGATGGTTATGTATGCAATCATACAAGGTTACTTGTCAGCCCCTTTTTATAGCAATTCACTCTCTTCCTCTGTTTAAAAGGTGGGACAGGGTTTATCCAATCTTAAATTTTGAGGGGAGTGGGACCCAAAGGGTTCATCATGACTAAGGATAAGAGGGTCCAGGGTTGCAGTCCAGATGGCCTTGCATTGGGCAACTAGTCATGTAATTATCATGCTTCTTTGCCAAGTCTAAGACCAGCAGTATAAATGAGTGCTGGATGGGGGAATAAAATGGACTTGCATCCCAGCCAGGGCAACAGAAATATTCACAGTGTTTTGTATCACTGAAACCAGGGACAGATTGAATACACTGGCTCAAGACAGACTTTGTTCATTTCTGGAAGCCTGCACTTATCAAAATGTCACCAAATGATCAAAATTTGAGTTTGTTTGCCCATGGAGAAATAAAGACACAGTTTGTGTCTTTTGTTTATCCATGGTATGTCTGAGCATCACCAGGATTATTTTCTACATTCAACAGCAACAAGCTGACCCACCATTGACAGCAGTGGAGGTCAATCCTGACCTTTACTTTCAATCAACTTGGAAATTGCCCTCTCCTCTCCTTCAAAAACATTATTTGGTGTGCTTTTTCTTATTTTTTTAAAATTTCAATGGGGGCCAATGCCCCCCTCCCCTTGTTATGCTCATACTTGTATAGGAAATTCTACTGTAATGACTGTAAACATTTGTGGGGTCAGTGTCCCTTCCCTCTCTCTTTCTCCTTGCAATACATCTCCGCTCGCAACAAATCAACACCAGGCTGACAGGTTGTCAGAACTATTCTGAGAAATTCATTGATTTGCTGTCAGGAAACCAAACTGCCTGAGAACTATGTCAAGGCCTGACTGAGACTAGTCCAGCAAGGAAATAAACACAAGAAAATTAGCCCTGCATGTTGGATCTTCCTGAGTGGAGAAGGATAAAAGCACCCAGGATGGAAACATTAAATTAGCCAGAGGGCAGGTAATGTGTTGCATCTGTCAGGGAGAAGTGAAGTGTACACATGAGGGAGATATTGGAAGTGGATGTTATTCACTGTATGGACTGTGTGTTATTTCCCATGCCACCAGACATCCGCCTGTGGTCTTGACGGAATGAAATAATGCAACTGATTATGAAGGCAGGAATAATAACTGCCGGGCCCTTTTCTTTTTTCAGCAGAGGAATGAGGATTTAAAGAAGGAAAAAGGGGGTGACTGAGATGCAGGTCACTATGATGGCAGTGATGTTTTCATCTTGGAAACCATGGTTGATGGGGATGGAATGTGGGCTGTGGGCTGTGGGCCCCTCCCCAAGCATATAGAGCATTATCTTTCTTGTCTGTAAAGTAATGGAAACAAGGCCTTTTTGGACAATTTTAACTTTCCTTCCTCCAAAATGCATGTAAAAAGCCCCCCAAATGTAGCCTCATCCCCCCAAGGCCATAAATCATTGGGCTACATACATAAATTTACAACTTTATTTTGTCCTGAAAACACAATGTTGCCTCCCCCCCACTGAACTTCATTCTTAATCTGCCCTTCAATGACGGTAATTCGTGGTCATGAAAAAGAATAAAGGTTACGGTGAGGTAAGGTATGGTTGGTGAGGATCAATGTTGCTGATTAGTCTGTGTGCTGTTACATTGGCCTATAGGGGAGTACATTGCCTGAATGTCACAGTATTATTGTAAACCAAGTATA